ATCTACTGAAAAGCAAACCATCAGGTTTACAATGATTTTTCACATAAAAATAGGAACTGAAAATAAATAAAAAATAAAAAACTGAAATGACCAAATTAATTTGAGAGATATCATTTGAAAATTAGAATACTCTGAATGTCTGCAACCAAGGAAATAAGATGACATATTCACTTACGTATACACACACACAAAAACTTTTCAGATCCACAAACTACAATGTTCAACGGACTCTCCATACAATATATTCACAGAAGTACTATCAACAAGTTAATTATCTATCTAATCCTAGAGTAACTCTAAACCCTAAAAGAAAAAAAAAAAAAAAAAACAGCTTTTTGCACATTCTATACTGCATCTTAGAAAATCCAGTATCAAACAGAGGCATATAAATAAAGGTTCATAAACATTAACCAAACTGAGCAAAAATGTAAAAAAAAAAAACAAAAAAAACCTCAGCAGATAAAGGGGTAATGGTGAAAAAAACATCTCTGCACAAGTGGTTCTCAAACTATTCTGCTAGAATTAAATAATAATGGCCTTTTCCTGATGTGCAAGGAAAATAAATTTGTTCAATTTTAAGTTATTCTTTTAAAGATGTGTTTTAGATTTTTTTCACATTCTACCACAGAAGTACATACATAACAACTGAATGTTGATGGAAAAATAAGGCAATAGTTGACTCAGGCTAGAGTCAATAGTTTAGTTTTTTATGCTCTGACTTGCAGTTTACATCGGTTCAATGCATGTTATTTTAGTTAAATTTCTTATTGAACATGACTGGATGTTATATTTTAGTTCACATGATGAGATTACCATAATTTGTATATTAATATCTAAAAAAGAATAAACAGTACCGGTAAACAGCACAAAGATAGAAAGAATTATCTCTAAATAAGAGAATGTTTCATTTCTATTTTTCTAGTATCTAAAGCAATATATGCGAAAATATTAAATTCCTACTCCAATTCCATTTACGTATTCTTAAATATGTAAGAATTTATGTATTTATGTGGGGAGGGGGTGCAGGGGGAGGAACACGATGACTTTCAATTTCCTAATTTATAAGAAAAGTGAACCCAGTTAGGTCTGTGAGGACCTTTCAGCTCTGCAATGTCATCATGTTTACTTTTCATCTTCTGAGGTTTTTCCTAGTACATATTGCCATAGTGATATGACACTGTGGTTGATAACTTTACACTTTTTAAAATGTGAGGGTTTCTCAGGTAGCTCGGTGGTAAAGAATCCGCCTGCCAATGCAAGAGATGCAGGAAGATCCCTTGGAGTAGGAAATGGCAACCCACTCCAGTATCCTTGCCTAGAGAATTCCATGGACAGAGGAGCCTGGAAGGCTACAGTCCATGGGGTCACAAAAAGTAGGATATGACTGACCGAGTAACATACACATTCCAAAAGCCTCTATGCATTAGATGATGGGAGGAAAAAAAGGAGAAGAACCCCATAAATTAAAACTATTCCCCACATTCAGTTCAAAAACCTCCAGAGCAATAACTTGTAGGAAAATGTGAGCTTTCAGAGGATCTGAAATCAGAAATCTTTTCTCCACTGTAATGGTTAACATCATAGGAACATTATAAAACAAGTTTAAAAAACAATTTTAAAAATGCTGTTTCTCAAAATAAATGTCATATATCTGCATAACATCCTCCCTATCAGTTAGATTTGGCATTAGGAGAACTGGATTCTAGCCACCTCTGCCACCTATTAGTTCTGACCTTAAACTCTCAATTCAAACAAAAGCTGCTCTAAGCCAGGTACTATGCTGGGTGCCAGGGATACAAACAGAAATAAACATGGTTCATGACCTCATATTGAGATCATATTAAATGACTTTATCTTAGATTTGCTTCTGATGGTATTCTAAGGCTTTAATACATACACTATTAAGAGTCTTCCAGGCACCCTGCTTATATCAACTTATTTAACAACAATCTTGTTAAGTAAATATTATCTCTGTCATTCAAAGAAAGAACCTGAGATGCACAGAGTTGCAAATTTGGGTAAGGTCACACTGCAGAGCCCAAATCAGAACTCAAATCTTTCACTTATACCATGCTATCTAACAAACAAATAAGGACAATTAATTTCAACTTAGGTAACTTTTAAAACATCCCTATAAAGAAAGAATTTAAGACAGACATAGAAGTCGTGAAAGAAAAAGCATCTGAGGTAGAAGGAAGAGCTGGAGCAAAGGTAAAGTATTGAGAGTATCAGGTACACTCGGAGGATAGCACATAGCCCTGCATGACTGCTATACTGGGAAGAGGAGCTTAAGGGGGAAAAAAAAATGAAAAAGCAGGTTGGTGTCAAACCATGGGCTTCAAAATTTTGTACCACTTTTCTCCAGACATAGTTCTCTGGGCACTACCAGTCTTCAACTGAAGTTCCTTTTTCTCTATGACCAGTTCCTTTGCATTACTTCATGCATTAGTCACTCTTTGATAACAGCTAATGGTTAGTGAATGCTCATAAGTTCCAGGCACTTATTTTATGCTCATAATAATCCCACAAAGCAGGTACTTTATTTTTATCAATTGTAAGGATGAGGCACAGAGAAGTAAGAAAAATTGTACAAAATTAAGCATTAACTGGTAAAGTGGAATCTAAACAGTGTGGCTCCATAGGCTATATTTTTTTAATGTACAAAACAGAGGGATTATAAATCCTTTTTTTTAAATTGAAGTACAGCTGATGTACAATGTTGTATTAATTTCTACTGTACAGCAAAGTGACTCAATCATATATACATTTTCTTTTGCACATTTTTTTCCATTATGGTTTATCACAGGATATTAAATATAGTCCCGGACCTTGTTGTTTATCAGAGCCTGAACTCCTAATCTGTGCTATACTACCTCTAAATGGAAGAACTTTTTGTCTCCGCTATTAAAGTGAGTTCCTTGAGGGCTAGAATAAAAATAGCTTTGTTGCTGTTGCTGCCATTGGAGGAAGGTGATAAGGAGGAGAAGAGCTTTATATTCTCAGCACCTAGGACAGTGCCGGGTACACAGCAGGCTTTCATAAATATTTGTTGAGCTGAACTGGCCTTGACTACTTAACTAGAGTCTGGACTAACTTTCCCATAAGAGGTTGGCAAACTTTATCTGTAAAGGGTCAGATAGTAAATATTTTCGGCTTTGCCAGCCATAAGGTCTCTGTCACATTTATTCATTTCTCCCCTATACCACAAAAGCAGCAATAGACAATACTTAAACAAATGAGAATGGCTGAATTTAATAAAACTTTGTTTACAAGAAAAGGCAATGGGCTAAGGAGCTTCAATACTGGAATCAGAAATTATGCCCCCCACCTTTCCTTTTTCTTTCTATAATCATTCTAGAACGTGGGTATCCAATAGAGATACAATGGAGCCACAAATACAAGGCACATATATAATGTTTTAATTTTCTAGAAGTCACATTAAAAAAACATATTTCTCATAGTAAGTCTTCAGTCTAGTGTGCATTTTACTCACTTTAGATCCATTTCAAATGTCAACTATAGTTGCTCCCATATAGTGGCTCCCATATTTGGCAGCACAAAAGAACCACCAAGTAACCTATAGATCTCCACTTAACAGCTGCTGGTCTTGGTACCATCTCCTTGCCTGGCCTGCCAGTTGATTTTGAACCTAATTCTGAACTATACACCAGTTTCACATTACTGGTAGCTCAATATACCAATGTTTTCATTTTTAGTCACATTTCACACCTGATCCTCCTAAAAAAACAACCAAGTAGGTAGGCATGTTATATCAGTTTTACAAATGAGGAAAAATCAGTTTTACAAATGAGACAGCTGCCACTCTGGTGAAACTGAGACAAAATCGAAGTCTCCTGACTTCTTGCCAAGATCTCTCTACTTAAGCCTCAACAGCACCACCTCATTTGTCAAAGTTGTAATTTTGCATTTATCTGTGAGACTATTTCCTACCCCCACTAGCATGTGAACTCCATGAACGCAAGGACTTTTTCCTGACCATTGCATCCCCAGTGCCCAGCAGGTGTTTTGCAAATATGTAATATTTGTTTAATGGATAAAAGAAACTACGGTTTTCCCCAATCGTCTTTAGTCTATTAAACGTAATTTATCTTATTTCTAGTAACTAATGTGAAAAAGTAGCAATATACCATATAGTTGATTAAATCGAAGCTTAACTTACTTCCAATATAACTCAAAAAAGAGTGGAAAAATGGCTGGGAACCAAGGCCTAAGTTCGAGTGCCCGCCCTGCGTTGAACTCGTAAGCTCTAGAGTAAATTAATTTTCTGAGCAGGAATTCTTATCTGTCAAAGAGCAAAGGGCTATAATGTCCACGATAACGTTTAGAGATAAGTTTTTCTTTAAATCAATTTGATACAGGTCAGCGTCCCATTCCTCACATACTTCCCTCCTCGGCGACGGAGAACTTACTTAGTGAGAGAGAGCCAGGTCCCAGGTAGGTCTCTCTCCGGGGACTCCGTCTGGACACCCTGCCGCAGGCCGCTGAGCACTGGCGGGGGCCGCCATCTTTCCCCTTGGCCCGACCCCAACCGCCACCCACGGGCACGGGGTAACGCGAACCTCACCTCTCCTCGCTGTCTCTGCATTTCACCTGCAACGGGACGAGTTGCTGGAACAAAATCTGGCTCATGCTGAACCGCTGCCCTGGCCAGTGTGCGAAAAAATACAACACAACAGGCCCGGCCCGCGATATTAGCCTGAAAGACTTCCGGGTCCTGTAAAGTTTGAGTTTGCCGCTCTACTTCCGCGGAGGAGGCGGGGAAAGAGAAACAGAGGGAATACGAAGGAGGTTTGGACCTCGCCGGCCACCATCAACTTCTTCCGGTTTTATGAAGCTGGGGTGGTAAAGTTCCGGGCATGGCGTTATCCTGCGTGGCGGGAGCTGACGCAGCCATATTTGTTATGGGAAAGGGACCAGAGTGAACCAGAGAACTTTTCTTTAGCCCATCAATGCTTGCCACCCGGAGTAAGCCCTGAATTATGGAGGCCTCTGCTTTGACGCCGCATGGAACTGCCTTTCCAGAAGAGGGGCGATGCGGTTATTTTGTGGAAAAGAAGAAGCGGTTCTGCAGGATGGTGGTGGCAGCCGGAAAAAGGTTCTGTGGTGAACACGCTGGAGCCTCGGAGGTCTGGTATCGCCTTACCCTCTCGAGGGTCGGAAATAAGTTTCCTGGTCCGGCACCTCCCCTCTGACAGATTTCTGCTTCAGTCCCCTGGATTTTGCAGCTTTTCCTGTGATAAACGCAGTACTGGCCTCCCTAGGGAGAGATGATGAGCCGTAGTGAAATGCAGTGTTTTCTTTTATTTAAGTAAAGCGCCAGCAGTGATCCGTTTATCTTGATACCAACTCATGGTAATGCTAGATTTTAGTTTTACTGCAGACTACCGCTTCTTGCGCTCGGCTCACTCTCCGCCTTCCTGATGGGAAATGGTGGTTTAGAAAGAAGAGTGATCAAAGAAAGAATCCAAGGTTTCACTAATTGTGTTTTCATTGTTTCGTGAACGATAATCACGTCTTGTGAATGCGGTTGAGAGAAACTTGTAAAAATTTTTTATTTAGACGTACAGTCTTTGAAAGCAACTAGTAACTACTTTGCTGAAAAGGGGAAGGAGAGATTTAAAAAACACGTAAGAATGAATTCTTTTAAAATTGAGAACAGAAAGTGTACAGTTTTGCTCGATTGTACATATGATTGTATTGTCAAGCAGCATATACTTTTATGTATGTGTATTTCTTTAGGGTATATATGACAGGGCATTTAAAAAACAAGATAAAAAAATAAAAAACAAGATCAGCATAATGCTTATAGAAAAAGAGCATGTTTCATAGGTTTTAGGAAGATTAAACCATAGAGAAAAGCATTTGATTTCATGCCTTCTGAATATCCAGTATTATTTACATTATTTTTGTTTGTTAGATGGTTTATCCTCCTAGGCAATATCCAGTACAGATAACACCGTAGAACCCCTTCATCTGCTACTGATCCCTCATAGCTATAGCTCTAATTCATATTTTGCTCTAACTGTTCACTTGCCTGGAATGAAGTGTACTGAAACAAGCTTATTCTTCTTTTGACCTGTGACTGTGACCTGTGACTTACAGGAACTCTTTGAAGTACACTTTCTGTTGTATTTTGAGAGGACCAGCAAATGTCCCCTGATTGAAAAATGAATTTTATGATTGCAGGAGGATTTTGTTCTCCCTGTTATAAGACCTGATATTTCACCTTAACCAGACGTCCAGAAGATGACAGCAGATGGAAACAATAGTAGAGTATGACTAGATCCTTACAGGGTAATCCATATTCCTGAAGAGGAATGACATCATGTTATTAATCTCTTGAAAAAGGACTGAAAAGCACCAAGTAGAAACACCTTCAATGACTATGGTTTGGTTTTCAATTTAGGGTATCCTGGGCTTGCCTGGTGGCTGAGACATTAAAGAGTTTGCTTGCAATGCGGGAGATCCAGGTTCAATCCGTGGGTTGGAAAGTTCCCTTGGAGAAAGGCATGGCCACCCACTCCAGTATTCTTGCCTGAAAGATTCCATGGACAGAGGAGCTTGGTGGGTTACACAGCCCATGAGGTTGCAAAGAGTGGGATACACTGAGCAACTGACACTTTCACTGACTCTTTAATTTTTGTTATGGTTGAGTATATTGTTTCCATCTCTTTTTTCTTAACTGTCATATATGGCTGAGACAACTTGTACTTATTTTTACCCATTGTTTCTAATTTAGGGGTGATTTAGCCTCCCCAGACAATGTCTGAAGACATTTTGATTGTCACAGCTGGAAACTGTTTCTTGCATCTAATGGCTAGAGGCCAGAGATGCTGCCAAACATCCTACAGTGGGCAGGACAGCCCCACAAAAAAGAATTATCCAGCCCCAAATACAGTAGTGCCAAGGTTGAGAAGCCTTGTTTCTAACAAATAATAAATTCTAGAAGTACTTTCCCCTGCTTATCATTAGACTTTGGGAAGTTAACATAGAGTCTTCTCCTTCATGGAGTTTAGACTTTAAAACCAGCAAATAGAGAAGAATATGTGCTATATCTTCAAAAGATATTGAAAAGTCTCTTAACTAGTTCATGAAATTCAGTGAACATAGTTTTGTGGATACACTGGGAGGCAAAACGGAACTGAAATAAACTGAAAAAGAAATTGTTAATACTAGTAATGAACACAGCATTTACTGTATGAACAGCACTGTGCTAACATTTCTTTTGAAACCTATTAGCTCAATTTTTACAACCCTTGAGAGGTAAGATACCTTATTATCTTTCAGATGAGGCAGTAAGACTTCAGATCATAGAGTTAGGAGCTGATAGTTAGGAACTGATAGAAAAATTAGGAATCTCAGCAGTCTGACTGACCTTTGGTTTTAACAGTTATACTATACAGACTTGCCAACACTATTAACTATTAACTCCTTTATTTTTTCTGAGTACATGTAGTTAAATCAATGTAACTTAGAAACAAATAGGATGCTATTATTCTGTACCAAAAGCTACAAAGCCAGTAGAGTATGATCACGTACCAAATGGTTAAAAGACCATATAGATGTCCCCAGCTGACTGTGGTTCAACTTATGATTCTTTGGCTTTATGATACTGCAAAAGCAGTGGGCATTCAGTAGAGAGCATACTTTGAATTTTGAATTTTTCATCTTTTCTGGGGCTAGTGATATGCAGTACTGGGCAGAGTCAGGGCTCCAAGTCAGCCATACTATCACAAGGGTAAACAACTAATATGCTAACTGTCATTCTGTACCCACACAACCGTCTGTTTTTCACTTTCGGTACAGTAGTCAATAAAATACATAAGATATTCAACACTTTATTATGAAATAGGCTTTTAGATGATTTTGCCCAACTGTAGACTTCTGTTAAGTGTTCTGATCACATTTGAGATAGACTAGATTATGCTATAATGCTCGGTAGGCTAGGTGTATTAAATGCATTTTTGACTGAGAATATGTCAACTTACAATGGGTTTATCAGGATGTAATTCCATCATCAGTTGAGTTAAAGAAGATCTGTCTTTTGTTGTGTCTGAGATACACTTTTCCCCCACACACATTTTAACATCTCTAAAATCAGAATATTTCTTAATATCAATGATATGTCATAATTTAGACTGGCAGCATTTTTTTTCCTTAGTGGTCCCTAGGATAATAGTGTATATCTAGTCAGTGCTGTCATAGATTCAAAATTACATATGTTGGCTTTCTCTGTAACTTTCTCTTTCTATAGAGAAAGGTATCTTTCTCTGTAATCTATAGATCAGTGTTACCCAAAGCAGTATTTGCTCATGTATACCTAAACCAGCTACACGAGAGGTTTTTTTTTTTAATTGAAGTATAGATGATGTGAAAGTTTAGTCACTCAGTTGTGTCTGACTCTTTGCAAATCCATGGACTGTAGCCTACCAGGATATCCATCCATGGGATTTTCCAGGCAAGAGTACTGGAGTGGGTTGCCATTTCCTTCTCCAGAGGAACTTCCTGACACAGGGATCGAACCCAGGTGTCCCACATTGTAGGCAGACGCTTTACGGTCTGAACCACCAGGGTACAGAGATACAATACAGTGATTCACAATTTTAAAGGTTATACTCCATTTACAGTGGTTATAACATATTGGCTATATTCCATGTGTTGTACAATATATCTCTGTAGTTTATTTTATACATAATAATTTGTACCTCTTAATCCTCTGCCCCTATAATGTTCCTCTCCCCTTTCTTCTCTTCATTGGTAACCACTAGTTTGATCTGTATATTTGTTAGTCTGTTGCTTTTTTTCTTATTTTCGCTAGGAGTATTTTTTTAGAGTCCACATATAAGTGATATCACACAGTATTTGTCTTTCCCTGTCTAACTTATTTCTCTGACCATATCCTCCAAGTCTATCCATTTTGTTGCAAATGACAGAATTCCAGTCTTTTTAAAGGCTGAATAGTATTCCATAGGGATGGGGGTGTGTGTGTGTGTACCACATCATCTTAATCCATTCATCTGTTGATGAATACTTAATGTTGTTTCTATATCTTGGCAGTTATAAATAATGCTACTGTGAACATTGGGGTACACATGTCTTTTTGAATTAGTGTTTTTATGGATATGTACCCAGAAGTGGAATTGCTGGGTCATATGGTAGTTGTATTCTTCATTTTTTGAGAGCCCTCCTTAATGTTTTCCATAATGACTGTACCAATTTACATTCCTACCAACAGTGAATGAGGATTTCCTTTTTTCCACATGACTGTCAGTATTTGTTGTTTATGTTCTTTTTAATGATAGCCATTCTGACAGGTATGAGGTGATATCTCATTACACTAGAAATTTGTGTTTTAAACTCGATGATCTGATTTTGGGAATGTTTTGTTAATGTGCCTTTAAGGTTTCCTTAATCTTGTTTTGGGATAGCATAAGCTTATGATTATACTGAAGTTGTATCTAGTATCTGTAAGCAATAAACTTGATATATTGTTAGAATAAATATGTTCTTTGTTTTGTTGTTGTTTTTAGGAAGAAAATGCTCGGAAAAGAATTCTGTGTCCTTTAGATCCAAAACAGTAAGTATGGGTTGGAGAAGGGTTTTTCTGTGCTAGAAACAGTGATTATCACAGTCTTATTTTAAATAATTTTCTCTTTAAATTTAGCACAGTATATGAAGATCAACTAGCAAAGCATTTGAAAAAGTGTAACTCAAGAGAGAAGCCAAAACCTGTAAGTGTTTGGTCAGTAAAATTGAATGGTAAAATAGGTGCTATGTAATATTTATATATACTTAGTAGATTACAAATATGAGCTTTTAACAAAGCTCTTGCTTCAGGAGACTGAAATATGGTAAATACACCTGAGTGCATATAGGACATTAGACTGTGAATCCACTAGGAGTCCTAATTCAGGTAACAGATGTTTTTGCAACAAAAATAGTACTCAGAGAGTAATTCCACAGTTTATATATTCAAAAATACTTAATGCCAACGCTAGTGGTAAAGAAACCACCTGGCAGTGCAGGAGACACAAGAGACACAGGTTCATGCCCTGGGTCAGGAAGATCCCCTGGAAGAGGGCACGGCAACCCACTGCAGCATTCTTGCCGGGAGAATCCCATGGACAGAGGAGCCTGGTGGCCCCAGTCCACAGGGGAAAAAAGAGTCAGACACAACTGAAGCAACTTAGCACATTAGCATACAAGTTTATTTCAATAAAATATGATCCCAGTCTTCAGTGAACTGTTAGGTTCAATGAAAGAAGTAAGTGTACATGTGATAAGAGCACATACTTGCATTAAAATTAAATGTAAGGGATCAAGAAAGACTTGTCAGAAAGAGTAACACTTGAACTAAATCCTTTTTTTAAATATATAATTCTTTTTTTTTTTTTTTTGGCTATGCTGGGCCTTCGTGGCTGTGTGGGGTTTTTTCCAATTGTGGAGAGCAGGGTCTACCCTCCAGTTGCAGTATGCCAGATTGTCATCACGGTGGCTTCTCTTGTTGCAGAGCACGGGCCTTAGGGTGCACAGGCTTCAGTAGTTGTGGCACATAGGCTCAGTAGTTGCTGCTCCCAGGCTCTAGGGCACAGGTCCTGCACCTGGATAATAATCTTCCTGGATCAGGGATCAAATCTGTCTCCTGCATTGGCAGATAGATTCTCAACCATTGGACTGCCAGGGAAGTCCCAGCAGCACTGTCATTTTGACGACAAATTATCCCCATACATTTCCAAATGCCTCCTAATTGAGAACCAGTAAGCCAGATGGCACAAGTTTAAAAAGAAAAGATGTTTACGTTAAGATGTGTAGTGGAAAAGGGATGACTGTCCCTAGTTAGCCTCTGGGTGAAAAGAATGTTGTCTTCACTTTCAGGTGTGCATGGCGATTATCTGGCTTCGCTGGTGGCTCAGACAGGTTCTTTAGAACCTGCCTGCAATGTAGGAGTGTTAGCGTTAGTCACTCGGTAGTGTCTGACTCTCTGCAACCCCAGGGACTGCATGTAGCCATCAGGCTCCTCTGTCCATGGGATTCTCCAGGCAAGCATCCTTGAGTGGGTTGTCATTTCCTTCTCCAAGGGATCTTCCCAACCCAGGGATTGAACCTGGGTCTCCTGCATTACAGGCAGATTCTTTACCATCTGAGCCACAAGGGAACCCCGGGTTCAGTCCCTGGATTGGGAAGATCTCCTGGAGAAGGGAATGGCTACCTACTCCAGCATTCTATCCTAGAGAATTCCATGGACAGAGCCAAAGAGTCGGACACACCTGAGCAACTAACATTTTCACTTTCACAGGCATGGAGGTTCTCTTCCTTACCTGTTAGACTTTAGTTAAAGCAAGCAGGTTAAATATGTGTTCTGGGAACGGTTTGAGAGAAAAAGTCAATTTATTGAAACTGGACTACCCCTGTGAATTTCCTGGTGATCCAGTGCTCGGGACTCCATGATTTCACTGCCAAAGAACCAGGTTCAGTCCCTGGTTGGGGAACTAAGATCCCACAGGCTGAGTGGCACTGGGCCAAAAAAAAAAATGGAATACCCATGCACAGATTTCATTGCATGCTGGGAACACAGTAAAAAGGAAAGGGAGAAAAGCAGTGGGATGATGAGATAGAGAAAAGAAATGCAGAACAGTTTTTGTCTAGTACACTATGTATAACATGAAAACCAGGTTTTGCTTTACTAATAGTTGTAGCTATTAATAATTTTCCATTATAGTTTTTTCAGTCATCCAACAAAACATTCTGATACCCACTTTCTAACCTGTTCCACTTATTCACTAGTTTCTCTTATTACCCATATAAGTAAAAATAGCAACCCACAATCCACACATTACTTTTCTGCTGTTTGTATAACTAAAGCCTATTACTGTGCATAATATCTCAGGAGTTGTTTTCACTTTCAAAAGAGAATTTGTAGAAAATTACACTATTTATATCTACATGGTCTAATATGTAGCCTCTGCTGCTGCTAAGTCACTTCAGTCATGTCCGACTCTGTGCGACCCCATAGACAGCAGCCCACCAGACTCCCCCTTCCGTGGGATTCTCCAGGCAAGAATACTGGAGTGGGTTGCCATTTCCTTCTCTAAGCCATGTGTAACTATTTAAATTTGAGTTAATTAAAATTAAGCAAAATGAAAGTCTGGTTCGTCAGTCACACTAGCGATATTTCAAGGCTACAGCTACCATGTTGGCTAGGGCAGATATAGAACATTTTCATTATTGAATATGTTGAACTAGATCCTTACTTAGAGTCCTTCTGTCTCTGAAAATGGACTAGAAATATCTCACTGTGTTAATTTACACAACATAGTATCACAGGACATTTTTATATTCTATTTTAATTAGTACTTTAAAATAGAAGAAACCAGACTTAAACCATTGTAATATTTTTTCATATCTGTTTGTGGTCATGCTACCTATGTGATAAACAGCCATTTGTAGTTGGACCTTTGTTTTTGCTTTAGCAGTTAGCAAAACTAACATCCTCAGTCTATGCTTGAGATAGGTAAAAATGTTAACAGAAATTACTAATAAGTTTCTTTGGACTATAAATGTTTATTCAGATAGCCACCTCACTAGACTGTAAGATACAGGAACACAGAGGTTTTTGTCTGTTCTGTTCACTCTGGTGAATCCTCAGCAACTAAAGCAAGTTAAGGAACAGACTAGTCACTCAGTAATTATTTATGAATAATTTTTTCATGAATAAATGAATGAAAGAAAGAGAAGGTGACAGGTACAGAGTATTAGAAGGGATGAATCAGTTTTTCACCTTAATTTTTGTGAACTCTTCACATTAATAACTTTTGTTATCATTTTGTTTTTGTTAAGGACTTCTTTATTCAAGATATTAATGCAGGCTTAAAAGACGAAACTGAAATACCGGATCAATTAGTAAGTACTTGACTTTTTAATTTTATGAGGTGTTCATGAGCATCTCCACACTGTAAATAAGCTTACAGTTTTTGTTCCAATTTTTGAAATAAATTTAACTATTTTAACATAGAATGCATTTCTTATAGAATCAATGTTATCAGTTCCCAGACCAGCTCATGTCCCATTTTTGTATATAGGTTCCAATTTCGTCTCTCTCTGAAGAGCAGCTGGAAAACTTAATTAAGAAATTGAGAAAAGCAAGTGAAGGTAAGTCTGCCTAAATTTGCAAGTTAAATTTTATTAGAATAATCAGGTGGTGTATGAGTTGAACTTTCCTGGTGGCTCAGACAGTCAAGAGTGTGCCTGCAATGCAGGAGACCCAGGTTCGATCCCTGGGTTGGGGATCCCCTAGAGAAGGGAAATTCCTCTGGTTTAAGAGATATTACTACCATTGCTTAGAACCCTACTGTTTCACACTTGGTTGTTTAGGCTTGTGTGCTTTTATTTGGCACAGGTTTGAACTGCACACTTAAAGATCAAATTATGTCCCATCCAGCATTGCATGATGCCCTTAATGACCCTAAAAATGGTGATTCTGCAGCCAAACATCTGAAACAGCAGGTATGTTTAAACCACACTAACTCTACTAAAAATGGCCTTTTTGTTCATTTGTCAGAAGCGAACATTCTGTTTTTTTCTAAATATAGTATTAATGAAATTTTGTTTAGGTTATCTTTCATGGTACAGAATCTCCATTTTCAAACAATGTTGTCCAAACATATATGGAAAGTCCTTAGCACGGATAGGGTTCTGAGTACTGCATGTTAAGTATTTAAAAATAGGAGAGAAACTTTAAAGCCAAAGAAAAATTAGCATTATGAACGTGGTGCCCTATACAGAAATTGTCTTGCTGTTTTTCTATTTGAGCCAGATGTTTTTGTTCTAGTTTATAAAATAATCTTGTGAAGTTTGCAGGCTTCTATTTTAGGTAACATTGAAAATTTAAAGTTACTTGGTCCAAGAAGATGCTTTGTTGAATTTGGAGCAGGAAAGGGAAAATTATCTCATTGGGTTGATATTGCCTTAAAGGATGCTGAAAAAGTTCACTTCATCCTAGTAGAAAAGGTGACCACAAGATTCAAGGTAAGTGAAACCATTGTGGTATATTTGTAGCCAGATTTTGTTTGCACTTAAGAAAAAAAGCCTCTAAAAGAAAATGAGTTTTTTGTGTTTATTTGATTGTAGTTTTTTATTCTAATTATATTGGTGACTTAAACTAAAAGGAACTTTTTTTAATCTAAATTTTGATAGTTGATTGATCTGAGTTCTTAAAATAACAAAGACAGAAGATATGTGGAAAGAGCCAAGCTCAAGCTAGGAATTAAGGCTTCAGTCCTTACCTACCTCTGAAACCTACTGTTTGTTCAATAAACATTTATTGAGCATACCACCAGAACCATGACAGGTATTGAGGAGATAAAGTCAAATAAGATGAGAGTCCCTATTTCTATTACTTATGTTTAGAGTGAAAGTGAAAGTTGCTCAGTCGTGTCCGACTCTTTGCGACCCCATGGACTATACAGTCCATGGAATTCTCTAGGGCAGAATACTGGAGTGAGTAGCCTTTCCCTTATCCAGGGGATCTTCCCAACCCAAGAATCAAACCAGGTATCCTGCATTGCAGGCAGATTCTTTACCAGCTGAGCCACAAAGGAAGCCCACTTAGATTTAGAAAGAATAGACAAATAGATAAATGATTTTTTTTTTTCAGTGTTAAAATATGGGGGGGAAAAAGCTGCACAGAATACAGTGTGTGTTCAAAGGAGGGAGTGACAAGTTTTACTGCAGGGAAGTGATGATAAATGGCTATACAGAAAAAATGATATTTGAGGTGTGTCTTGAAAAGTGAGTATTTGCTAGATACAGGGTTTGAGAAGCATTCTAGGAAGCAAGAACAGTGTAACCAAATGCCTGAAAGGACAGGGGAACACAGAAACATTTCTGGGTGATGGAAGTACATGGTGTGAAGTAGAGTTCAACAGTGAGATGGGAGAGGTGGGAGAGACCTTGGAAGGGGTCATAGTTTATGCTATGGAAGGAGTTTGACTTTATCCTTTTACGTGCTGGGGATACAGTGGAAACAAGATTTAATTCTTGTCTTCAAAAAGCTTACATCTAATGGGACAGTTTTATAAGCATATTGGTTTAGTACACTAAGTGATAAGGACCAGATGATGTAAGAGTTCTACCAGAAGATAGAACACCAGCCTCAATGTAGGTTTCCTGAGGAGAAGGAAGCAGCAAAGAAGAGATTTAAGGAGTATATCAGGATTGGTGAAGTAAGTGGAGTTTTAAAAGTTCATCCTAGCAGTACCATTAAAGCTGTATCAGAGGAGTATGAACTAGAGAGATTAATAATAAGATACTAGCCTATGATCCAGGTAAGAAATGCGCCAGAGCTAAGGATATCGCAGTGAGACAGAGGAGGGAAGAATATGAGAAATGTAATGATAGTGGGAGCCATGAGACTTTATTAAGAGGGAGGAGTTACTTCTGGTGACCTTTTGTGCCTTAAATGAGTGAGTGGTGTTCTTCCCTCAGACAGGGGTGTGGCAGGATGAAGGAGAAGAATATAGTTCAGAGGGAGAAATAATGAGTTCGGTTTTGGATGAGTTTGCTGTTGAAGGAGAACTTTGTGTTCGACAGTTGGATTTGTGTGTGCTCATCAGAACGGTCTGGGCCACAGTGTAGGTTTATCAGTCATAGGTATCTGTATATAGATGAGAATGGTTGTGGTCTTTCAGGGAGAGTAAGGAGAGAAGCCAGCCACAAATAGTGTATTAGGGCCTGATAAAGATAAAGGAGCTGGCAAATAATCTTAGGTAAGTCAGTTAACATCTATGAGCATTAATGCCTTCATCAGTGAATTGGGGATTTTTAGAATTAAAGGAAATAATGTGCACATTATAATTTATAAAATGTTCGAGGCTTGTAAAAATGTGAGGGCTTCCCTGGTAGCTCAGCTGGTAAAGAATTCACCTGCAATGCAGGAGACCCCAGTTCAATTCCTGGGTTGGGAAGATCTGCTGGAGAAGGGATAGCATACCCACTCCAGTATTCTTGGGCTTCCCTGGTGACTGTTGGTGAGGAATCCACCTGCAACACAGGAGACCTGGGTTCGATCCCTGGGTTGGGAAGATCCCTTGGAGAAGGGAAAGGCTACGCACTACAGTATTCTGGCCTAGAGAATCCCATGGACTTGTTATTTTCTGCCACAGAATATACAATTAACAATTTTGCTTTTTAAATACTAAAAAATAAAATGGAAAATTATTAGCTCTGACTTTTGAAAACAAAAAGAAATCTTTTTATTTTCATAAAGCTTTTTTTTCCCTTACATGAAACCTATTGTTATAATAATGTTCTGTTTATACAGGTAGATGGCAAACACAGAAAGAAAAATTCAGTGTTTGAAAGACTTCAAATTGATATTCAACACTTGTGTTTGAGTAAGTTGCATAACTTTCAGTTGCTCTTCCATAAATCATGGAATTTTCAAACTCTTGAGGGTTGCTTAGAAATCCAATCAGGCAGAACAGTGCTTCAGGAAAAACAAAGATTAATCCATTTTTAATATAGAATTTTATATCTTAACATTTAGATACATATAAATGGGATGAGGGTTGACACTCTTAAGAAATTGTTTTTCAGTATCCGCTAGACATGAAATGTCATACTAGAGAATAGTTTAAAATTTTTGATAATATGCCCTTATCTTGCTTATTTGTGCTGTTGAATTACTGAGTTTGTTCATGCTATACACCAGCCTTCTGCCCATTGTTAACATGACTTTACCAAAACTGTTAAGGAAGTGAGCTAGTTCTCTCCCACAATTTTAAATTGTACCAAAGAAAATAACCCATCTCTATGGAACTTATTTCATACACACACCAATGAATCATACTTTTTAATGCCCTTTTTGTACCTTTTTTAGTTTTTCATATTATTTAGAATAAAAATAATACAAACATATGCCAGCAACCTCTTCTGCTAATTTTAATTCAGCCCTGTAATGCAACCCACCATTGGCCCATATTGTAAATAAAATTTGTTCATCGAGTTAGTAGATAATTTATAATTTTTTTTGCTTGGTCTTTTAAAAATGTATTTAAGGTCTTATGTATAGCACAGGGAACTATATTCAATGTCCCCTGACAAACCATATTGAAGAAGAATATATATGTTTATATAACTGATGACTTTGCTGTATAGTAGAAATCAACACATCATTGTAAATCGACTATTGAGGTATAACTTTAAAAATTGCACTTTAATTGTCTTAAATTGTTTTAATACATTTATCAAGTATTCTGTTAAGTTGCCATCTTCCTGAAAAATTCTGTCTTGGATCCTTCAGACCTGTTCCAGTCTAGACTGGGCGTGCTCCTTTCTGTCCTGGGGCACAATTGTCAACCTTAAAACTCTTCATTCTCATCCTGGGGCTTCCCTTCACTCTTGTAGGTTGAAATATATTTTTCCACATTTTTTTTTCTCTTTTGGCCATCGTGGATGGGTTTTGGGATCTTAGTTCCCCAACCAGGGATCGAATCCTCAGCAGTGAAAGTGTGGAGTCCTAACCACTGGACCTCCAGGGAATTCTCTATTTATCTACATCTAACCCCACATCTTCCTCTGTTGATTTACTCTTCTTGGGCAAAGACCTTCTCTGTAGCTTCCTGAGAAACACCTGCATTAGAAAGAAATTTGATACCTTGCATTGTCTGAAAATATCTTTTAACTTTACCGTTACACTTGATTTGGCTGGATCTTTTCTATTTCTGGGGCTTCCCTTGTGGCTCAGCTGGTAAAGAATCTGCCTGCGATGATCCCTGGGTTGGGAACATCCCCTGGGGAAGGGAAAGGTTACCTACTCCAGTATCCTGGCCTGGAGAATTCCATGGACTGTATAGTCCATGGGTTCACTAAGAGTTGGGCACAACTGAGTCACTTTCACTTTCACTTTCTATTTCTAAGAAGTTTGAAACTATTACTCCATTAGTATTGTTGTTGTTTAAAAGTTCAGTGCTGTTCTGAGTCCTGATCCCTTGTACATCATCTCCTTTTTTCTTTCTAGAAATGTATAGGCTCTTTTCTCTGTCCTCAGTTTTAAATTTCCACAGTGATGTGCCTTGTAGTCATATTTTTATCTGTTGTGTTGGGCACTTGGTGTGCTTTTGTGTTTAGAGCAGTGGTTCTCAACTAAAGACAGTTTTGGCCCTCAGGGAGAATTGACAATGTCTGAGATATTTTTTGTTGTCACAAGAGTAGACATGTTGCTGGCTAGGTGGATACAGACCAGAGCCCTGCTAAATATCCTATAAGGTACAGTACAGTTCTCCACAGCAGTGAATTATCGGAGCCAAAAGTTAATAATGCCAAGGGTGAGAAATCCTGATTTAGAGATTCCAGTATTCTCAGCTTTCTGGGAAATTTCCTTGCATTCTGGGTAATTTCTTTGCGTTCTTTCTTTCTTAATTTTCTCTGCTTCATTGTTTTCTTTTCTCCCTTAATGGGAGAACTTTTATGATCTAGTTATTAGACCTGAAATAGTTCTCTACTTTTCTTGACTTTACTTCTCTGTTCTGTATCTTTTTTTTTATACTTTTGCAAATTTCTTCAACTTAATTTCTTCTATCATAGTTTTAATTTCTAAGATCTTTTTCTCTGAATTTATCTGTTATTTTAACTGTCCTTCTTTTCAGAATTGTAGTATCTTTGTGAGGATATTAGCATACGCTTTTTAAGTATTCTCCTTTATAGTCTGTCTTTACTCATTTGCTCTTTTCCATTTGTTTTGGTCTGTCTTTTTCAACTGAGAGGCTCTGCTCAAGCATCTGTGCTTTTTGATGGTGTGTTCATAGTAAGGATCGAGGGACTATGAACTCTTGAGTCTTGAAGTGGAATTGTTGACTTCAAGCTCCAGTTTGAAGTAACTTGTCTAAAACATGATCTTTCCTCTTGGCTGGTCAGGTTCCCCAAGTAACACTTTTTGATCACCTGCCTAGAGGGTGAGAGTCTAGTTACTAATGTTGTGGGACCCAGTGAGGAGTAAGAGCTTCATCCATATGCATACTCAGTTAATCCTGCTATTTTACCACACATCAGCTTTCTACTTAGGGCTTCCCTCATAGCTCAGACAGTAAAGAATCTGCCTGCAATGCAGGAGGCCCAGGTTCGATCCCTGGTTTGGGAAGATCCCCTGGAGAAGGGAATAGCAACCCACTCCAGTATTTTTGCCCGGAGAATTCCATGGACAGATGAGCCTGTCAGGCTACAATCCACGGGGTCAGAGAGTCAGACATGACTGAGCGACTAGCACACACACACAACTTCCCACTTCTTACTGTCCTTCAGTCCAGTGACCTCCTGTCTTAATTGCTTCAGAGAATTATCTAGTTTTCCACCAGTTGGTAGAGAGGTCATCATCAGGTGGCTATGAGATGTGGATCTGACTACTTCTTAAATAGACTTTCTGCCAGTGCACTGTTATTCATAACTGTCTCAGCTCTTCTTCCAAAATTCCTGATGCCCCCAGTTCCATAAGAGCTTGATTAGACAACCTTTCTCTTTACTCTGATAGATAAGTTTCTTGAATCACTTTCCTTGGGCAAACTGTTCCACTTGTTACCAATTTCTTCTAGCATGTGATACCGTCTGAAAGCAAGCAACAGAAAATTTGAAATATTTACTAAGGACCTCCATTGGACAAATAACTGTGCTGGGTGCTATAGCTGAACTTGTAGGGGGAAACATACTTTTCACATCAGAAACTTAGAAAAAGGAAAATGAATTGGATGGTGAGGGGGTGGGGGTGTTGGAAACAGAAGCCATAACTGTGATGTTCTGCATTTAGCTACATTACCCTGTAGATGTCTTTTTTCTTTTTTTTTTTTTTTCATTTATTTTTATTAGTTGGAGGCTAATTACTTTACATCATTGTAGTGGTTTTTGTCATACATTGAAATGAATTAGCCATGGATTTACATGTATTCCCCATCCCGGTCCTCCCTCCCAAGATGTCTTTTTTCTTTTTTTTTTTTTTTTACTTTTATATACTATTATGACTATCTTATTCAGAACAGTGTGAAAAGCTAAAATAATGTCTTACTCTTATATAAGATTATATCTTATTCAAGATACAATAAAAGCTGTATTTTTAGTTTGATGATAATATTGAGTATATAATATTGTGTAATGTAAAATGTTGGTTGTATTATTCATGTGTATGTTTGTCATATATATTAGTTAAGAAAAATAAACCTAGTAGGGAAATTTTTGAGTCCTTTTATCAATGGATAATAATAGTTAGCAAAATAAGGCTTCAACAGGGTAAAGTCCTGAGTCAGTATGGAATAGCCCTGGCCTAAAAAGTCAAGAAACTTTAAATTAGGAGTAAAGAACCTGCTGGGGATAAGGTGGGAAGAAAAGGAAAACAAAAAACTTTTAAACTAATTCTCTCCATATCAGTAGTCATCTGTGTTACTTATCAAGTCACTATATCTTTGAGCCCCTTATTTCTAAGCTATAAAGTGAGAATTTTTTTGTTTGTGCCTCTTGGCCCTAAAATTCAAAGATTCTAGTTAGTTCTCTTTGGAAGCCAACTTAATGCCTTATCTCACAAGAGAACTAACTTAGTTCTTATTTCATTTCAGACAAGATTCCTTTGCTGAGCAAAGAAAAACTACCTGTGGTAGGAATTGGAAAACATCTGTGTGGTGTGGCAACAGGTATGTAAACATACTAATAATGTTGAGATGAACGCATTAAGTTTTAGCATGAAAGAGTATCTTTTCAGTAGTTTTAATCCCTTGTTTGTAACTCATTAATCTTCTTAGTTGGAGAAGGAAATGGCAGCCCACTCCAGTACTATTGCCTGGAAAATCCCATGGACCGAGAAGCCTGGTAGGCTACAGTCCACGGGGTTGCAAAGAGTGGGACACAATTGAGCGATGTTTAAAAAAGGGGGTGGGACCTTAAAGTTCTTTAGCATTTGCCCTGTATTATATCCAGTTTTAGAGCTTTCCTATTTAGTTGCTCATTTTGGCCACTTTGCAGGATGAATTAAGAGTTTTATGTGTAAATTCTGTATGATAAGGGCTTCCCTGGTGGCTCAGATGGTAAAGCGTCTGTCTGCAATGCAAGAGACCTGGGTTCGATCCCTGGGTCAGGAAGATCCCCTGGAGAAGGCAATGGCAACCCACTCCAGTACTCTTGCCTGGGAAATCCCATGGACGGAGGAGCCTGGTGGGCTACAGTCCATGGGGTCGCAAAGAGTTGGACACGACTGAGTGATGTTAAAAAAAAAAAGGGGTGGGACCTTAAAATTCTTTGGGTTATATTTCATCCAGAAAGGAAATCAGTCATTTACAGAAGCTATTATAGTTCTTTTCCTGAAGCTACTCATTTTTTTAGAGTTGCTTAGGAAGGACTTGGAAACCTCTCCCACTAGAAGATGATTATCAAAATTCTAGGGGAAACAAAAAAAGAAATGTTAAGATGTGTTGTCTTAAACTTGGATCCATCAGATGTAGCATGATAAAGTAGACAGAACATGGGCTTTGAAATCAAATAGTACAGGGTTCAGCTTTGTTGTATGACTCTGGCAGATTAACCTTTGAGCCTCCAGTGAGGCCTGCTTTCCACATTCTGACCCTCTTCTTAACTCTTCACTATTTGCTGTGAATATCTTACATTTCAGGACTGACCCTGAATGTCAGCTTCAGCAGATGCTTAGCTGATGCCTTTCTTTCTTTCTTTCTTTCTTTGGGTTCTTTAAGCTCAAAACTTCCCTGGAATATATATGTAGAAAACACACATTTTTAAGTCATTTCCTCATCAAGGATAAGAAAAATGAGAGCCAGTTTGAGTAGTTGAACTAAAAGTTTTACAAATTTTAGATCTTAAGCTTCACATAGTTTTTTGGGGGTGGGGGAGTTGACTTTATGCAGAATAAATTATTAGAGAAAATTATTCAATAATGAGAAAAGAGAAAATATGAACAAAGTTGATATTAGCACAAGTATAAAGCTAAGTAGGTTTTTGTTGTTGGGCTTTTAAAAACCATACTGCCTAATAAATGTAAAATTTACTTAATTTTAAAGATGATGTGGTTTGGGGGGCCACATAATTGTGTTTGCAGATCTTGCATTACGATGTTTGGTTGAAACCTATGCTGCCAGTTGTGAGGAAAGGAATGAAGAACCTTTAGCCAAACGCATAAAGAATGATAAAACAGAAAAAGAAATTAACACTTTGGCCAAGGAAGGAAATGAAAAAAATACCCCAGAGAAGTGGACCCCTGTGGCTGGCATTGCTATTGCACTCTGTTGTCACCACAGGTGTGATTGGAGACATTATGTGGGCAAAGAATATTTCAGGGCTCTGGGCCTTGGAGCAGTGGATTTCCACTATTTCCAGCGAATGAGTAGTTGGGCGACTTGTGGGATGCGAAAAACGTCTTTGGAAGCTTCAAATATTTCCACAAAAAGAAGAGATAAACAGAATGATGGCAGTGAAGAGCATGATGACGGAGGATACACAATCACTGATGACAGCCCTGAGAGTTTGCCTGGGTGAGTGACTACTTTGAAGTGCGCAGCACTAAGGCAGAAATACCTTATCATTGCTGTACTTTATTTTTAGATGAATATTGCCAAAAATTCATTCCTGAAAATATATTTTACCATCTAATTTTAGAATAAGTTGAAATACACACACCTTTATTATGGCATTAATAAAACGTATCTTTGAAGCATGAAACATAGCACCTAGAACATAATGTGGGTTATTTAGCAGTTTGTCAATAAATAGGAATAGCTAAAATAATTTTTATAAGGTTTTAACAGCATTTTAATAATGTGTTATGTGTGTTTATTCAATTTAGGTTTCTTACTGTTGAAGAAAAGAAGAAAATAGGGCATCTTTGTAAATTGCTGATTGACCAAGGCCGAATCAAGTATTTACAGCAGAAAGGCTTCAGTCCTGCTTTACAGTACTACATAGACCCTCTGGTGTCTTTAGAAAATGTATTGTTAACTGCTTTACCAAATCATTCTTTATCACCAGAAACAAGTGCTTAATAGGAAAGAAATTTTGAACAACATCTGTCTTCCACCAAAAAAAAATTTTTTAATTGTATTTTTATATTCATGGAAATAGCATTTAAATAGCAGATAATATGAACTTTAAAAATGTTGTGGCCTCATTGAACTTAGTTAATGGCTTTGTTTTTTACTTTAGAAATCCAAACATAAGAGAATTCACCAAATTCCCAAAGCAATCCTCTTTAGCAGGGCATCTTGAATTATATTATCCATCAGCGTCTATGGAGTTTGGGGAAGTAGTCGAGCAGTTGACTTGGTTACCTGAAACACATAACATGCCAACATGAAACTAGTACATTCACTTTCTATTTGCATTAATTTTAGAAACTTATTTTCCTTTGGTTTTATTTAATACTTTTTATTTTTCAAGTTCAAGATATAATGATCAATTATCAGTTTATAACAAGGACCAATCTGAGAATTTGGCTTATGTATGGATTTTTTGTCGAGGCAGATCTGGAAAGAATAATTAATTGTGATTATTTGTTTCTATTGCAAATAAATACAGAAGTGTTCTCAGTCAATTAATGAATATCTTCAGATTTCAAAAGCCATACCTGTATTTATATATTATCAAAATTAATCCATGACAGACACTAAAACTAAAGAGGTGTTTTCAAGGAAAAGAACTATTTCACTTCATTTTTTTAATTGGATAATTACCTAGTTAAAACTTCTAAAAGGATACTTATAAGCCTAATTCACAAATTAAATTGAAATTTGTAAATAACTTCTGAAGTTAATTAGGCATCAGTATCTTTTAATGGGTCATTTTTACATATATAAGGACAGTTAACAAGTATATTCTCTACTGTTTCAGAAGATAATTTGGAATAAAGTGGAAATTAGATAGTGATACCAAAAACCTCACTTTTGGGCCTCAGCTCATAAGCAGTTTCTATGCACAAGTAAACATTAAACCAAACATATGGTAGGACTGTTATTCTTTTCCTCATCGCATCCTTGGTTTATTTCTGCTTTATTTGTAAAAATTGTCTTAATCATCGTACATTTGCCAAGATAAAGATCCAGAAATACTAATTTAGATACTATAATGATACTCTTAAATAGCTAGTGTTTGTAGGTCTATGAGTATGTTAATTATAAACTAGAAGTCTAGCACATTTTTACTTTCTGACCTTTCTACATATATCTCATGAGACTGCCTAGGTTCAAATCCCTACTACCTTATCTCTTTGTGCCTCAGTTCCCCTCTTGAAATGGGGATGTTGAAGATAATAATACCTCACAGGGTTGTCATATGAGCATTAAGTGAGATAACTAACATACTAAAATGCTTAGAAGAGTTCTAAGTACAGAATAAGTACTTAATAAATTTAAGTTTTTAATAGTACTAATTCATAAAAATATTTTTAATGACAGACTTGGTTTTATTCTGTTTAAGTTGTAACCTTTTTTCTCTTGTTGTAAGTTCTATGTCAAATATTATTAAAATAAAGTAGTTGGATTATTTTTTAAATTAGCTACTCATGCCTGCAAATTGAGACCATAAAGGAAGATAATAATACATTGTAATAATTAACCCCAATTTTGCTGAGTTAGGCAATGCTAATTTGTGTCGTACGGTCTGTTTTACTTCATTCAACAATTTATGCCCAGAAATAAAAAGATATTCTACAACAGACATTATCTCTGTTGTATTTCATAAAACATGCATATGCACACAAGGATTGTAGTGATGAAGCCTGTGGCGCGTTGAGCTTAATGAATGTCTCTGACAGTAATACCGGGTGCCCTGTGGGAAGATGAGCCACAGAGCCCTTGCTGGAGATCAGCATGCCGGCTGTAGGTAAAGACGATTGTTCCCCAGCCTTGTTTTCCCTTAAGGTAACACGAGACAGTGAAAATGTGGCCTATACATAGGAGCTATTTCTTGACCGGCAAAATACGCAGGTTCAGTAAACTCCTTAAACTTGAGATTGATCTACACAACTGCCTCTTCCTGCGTGTCCCACAGGTACATCACACATACTGTGTTGAAACTGAAGTTCTTGTTCCACTTCTAGCACCAAACCAGCCTCTATACTTCATTTCCCCCATCTCAGCATCACCGGTCATCTAGTTCCAGCCAAAACCAGATTCATCCTGGACTCCTTTCTCATCTTCATTCAGTCAATTCTGTCTCCTCCCTGTCTTTTGTAAACTTATACTCTGCTATCCAAACCTAGGCCCCAAACTATTAAAAATTTTTTACCTATCTTCCTCCAATCTGTCCCTCATGTTACTGTTTCTGCAACCTTGCTACAACAGATCTAATGACCTCCCTTGGATGTTGGTAAAAATATTTTTTCCAGCTGAAAATACTCTTTACCTTTTGCTCGATTATACCTGCTCTTCAAAATAACTGAAGATATAACTAAATTCTTTTAACTCAAAAAGTTCTTCACATTTTAGTGAATTATAAAACGATGTTTTCTGTTACTATCCTATTGCTTATTTTTTATTAACATAACTACGCCCTTTGTCCTCTTCCCCTTGGGTTAAGTCATTCCTTCCATAGTTAAAAAAAGCAACAAAAAGGTTTTAATTCTAAATTATCAGTGATTGAAATCTACACATCAGAAACACATTTTTACTATAGGCTAAAATCTATGTTCTCTTGATACGTTTCACTCCTAGGCACAGTAGCAAAATGTTTTCTCTTTTTCCTAGTCAAGTTTTTTTTTTCTATTTGTGAATTATTGCAGAAAAAGGAAACAGTAGGGAAGGTAGTGTTTAATGAATAACTGACATAACAAACTGATAGAATGAGGCAGTGAAGCTTTAAGAATTCCATCATTCACTTGGTCGTGCTTCAGGTTTTTGAGCAGAGAAATTTATTTCTTGACTCTACTTGAAAGACTTTTTATATTTTTACAGCCTTTCATTCCAAGGCTTTATCAAAATTGTGAACACGTTTAAATTTCACTTTTTTTTTCCTTCAACAATACTGACTAAGAGGGTAGGATTTGACAGAAAAGGTAAAATGGAATGAAAAGTCTATGAAGGAATTCATGTATATACATATATGCATACACACATTACTAAAAAGAATTTTTAACCTGTGTTATATACAGATCTCATACCTGCTCTCCGTGACTCCTGTATATATGTGTGCATAAACTGAAGGCCAAATAATTCCCGTTCCTCTTCCTCATCTATGTTTTCACTGGGAAGAAGTGTTACTTCCAATTTCAATGGGTTGTCTCGGAAGTTGACAAACCTAGCAGTTCACCAAAAAACAGTATTTTTATAGGTGCCATAGAAGTGTACATTTATTTTCCTGGAGAAAGATCAAATGATAATATACTAAATTACTCTTTTTTAACTGGTTTCAATAACTGAACATCTTGGTGAGATGTGATATATCCCAAGAATCTTTAAGTTTCTTTCCTAGAAGAAAAAAATATTAGCTTTAGACAACTTATTTTTCAAGCTTGTAAAAGCAATTATTAGTCCATAGCATATGTTTAATGTGGTATGATTTAACTTGCAAGAGCAATCCCAATGCATCTCAAAAGTACAATTAATGCTATGAACTTAAATTTTCTGCATATTTTAAAAAGTATGTCTTATCTATCATTGTATTTTTACCACCAGGTACAGGGCTCAATAGTTGCTAAATAAATGAATGATTCTGTTGAAAGTTGCGGGATTTGTTATGAATTCTGATGTCTTATGCTCACTGTCAGGAAATTAAGTTTTGGAAGATACTTGAGGAAGATCTGTTAGTAATTAACTTAGTAAAAAGTTATATTTAACGTTGCCTGTGTCCATTTGTAGTTATTTAGAAGGAAAATAATCACTGTTCTTATGGTTTTGGTGTTTATATCATGGATAAAGTTTATTAGCAATTATAAAGATTATTTTCAGGAAGATGTCACCAACAGAGGGCATTCCTTAAAGCTGATAAATCCCACTACTGTTTTAGTTTCAAGGATTCTTGAGTAATTTAGGCAAGTATTATATGAATCCTATTTATAAATTATAGCACTTCAAAGTTGGAAGAGATTTTTAAATGTATTTATTTATGTGAATGAGAACTCAAATCTATTCTTAACAATTTCTTCATATTATTTTGTTCTGCAGCTGGAAAGGAACATGTGAGTTCTGTGTCTACAAATTTTACCTTAGATTGGTCATCTCTTCCATACACTCTGGAATATCTTGCAGTTTATTGTTGCTGAGAACAAGAGTACTCAGATTTTTCATACTGCTGATTGTTTCTGGCAAACATGTTATTTCATTCCGTTGCAGCCATAATGTATGTAGATTTTGCATTCTGAAGAATTAAAAAGGTTTCTGTGATTAATCACATATAATATGAAAACCCTGGTTCTTATTAACTTAAAAAAATTTTAATGTCATACTATATAATATCTCGTTTAACCAGTCTACCTGAGTTAACTGACTTTACATTACCTGATTTTAGGGAAACTGGATCAGGGAGCTAATCTCCATCTACAGTACAACTCTCATGTAGTAGTAGAAATGAAATCAAGGTATTCTACAATTCTTCACTATTTCATAGGATTTCTTGCAGAACTGCTAAAATGTTATCTAATCTGAATTAGAATCTTAAAAGCAAACTCAAATTATTAATATGCCCATTTAGAGCAAGGCAAGTATACACATTGTTTAACAGCGTGGACTCAGGCCAGGGTGCAGGTGTTGTTTAGGCACTAAATCATATCTGATGCTTTTGAGACCGCAGGGGACTAGAGCCCACCGAGCTCCTCTGTCCATGGGATTTCCCAGGCAAGAATACTGGGGTCGGTTGCCATTTCCTTCTCCAGGGGATCTTCCAGACCCAGGGATCAAACCCCACATCACTTGCATTGCAAGCGGATTCTTTACAGCTGAGCCACTGGAGGGTGTAGGTGCCTGGGTTCAAATCATAGCTGTCACACTAACTGTGATCTTCAGCAATTCACTAACATCTCTACATCAGTTTCCTCAATCAGTTTTTAAACTGCACAGAGCAGGCACTAAGCAATGTTGTTATTGTGGCATATTCTTGTCCATTTGTTGATGTCAGAAAGTCCATTTTTCTGTCCCAAACCTCATGCCCCCTCCTTTTTTTGTCTGCACCCCATGGCTTGTGGGATTTTAGTTCCCCGGACCAGAGATGGAATCCAAAGTAGCACTAAACATCTATTGTGAATGATTATCTCCGGGGTCTCCTTTGTTTTGTTTGTTGTCACAGATGGCTTCCACACATCTCTCGGTAGTAAAAAAAAAAAAAAAAAGTTATTTTACCTTTCTATAGTATCAGGAAGTTGTTCAAGTCTGTTGCTTCCCATATCAAGCCACTCAAGGGCAGGCATGTTCAATACAGCAGGAGGGATTGTAGTAAAGAGGTTCATACTCAAATCAAGGTGAGTAAGCTTTAACAAATTGCTGAGCTGAAGAGGAAGGCAAAGTTTTTCAAAATGTCCACAATGTAACCTACTACAACACTCACACTGGTAAAGGAGATATTTTGCATCAAGGAGTGTTTACGTTATGCTTGGGTTTTATTTAGTCGTAGAAATCCATAGTAAATTTGAGAGGACAATAAAGCTAAATAACCTCCAGATAACAGCTCTCATAGAAAGTTCATCTGCTCAAAGAAAACATATCTTCCAAAATCACCAAGCTCCAGGGTTTAGAGAACCCACCTGGCAGAAGCTTTTTTGTTTTCTTTCTGTGAGTAAACATGTTTCCCTTTTATCTAGTAGTCAAGATTTTCTTGGGAAAACCCAAAGTTCAGAATAATAGTTATCTTTGTTAAACCCTCTATTTTTGTGCCTGATGCTTTACACATGTTACCTCAGTCATAGAATTTACTGTTTGGTAAATTCCATTTTTTAAATGAAAAATCAATAAAAAGTTGATTAAGACTAACAGCACCAGTGTGCTCAGCTTAAGAAAGCAAATATATTGATATCACTGCCCTCTATATACATCTCCCTTCTTCCTCTTGAAAGATAACTCTATCCTGAATTTGGTATCTATTATTCCCATGCATTTTCAAATGTTTTTATTACTATACATAAATATATGTTTTGTATGTTTTTCTCTATATATATTACTATTATGTGTATTTTTTCAGAAACAAAATTATCTTTTTATATGTTTTAACAATGATACTATACTTATCTTTAACTTGCTTTTTTCTCTCAGTGTCAGTGTTTATATGAATTCATGTTGATGCATACAGCTCTAGTTTAGTCATCAACTTTACAAAGTTAGTACCTTTTTCCCCTTTTACGGACAAAATGGTTTAGAGAGACCATGTGACCGACCATTAGAGAGACCAGCTATGATGTGCACTCAAGTTTTCATGGACCTAAAGTCACAAAATTTCTAAATTTCTCTTCTGTAGTGAAAATTTCAAAATGTAAGAATTCAGTTAAGTTTTACAAAAGATTCTCTATTTAGCTAGGCAATTCTATGTTTTCTTTCTGCCCCAGGGCACATTCAAATTCATTCCACAACTTTAACTAAAACTTCAAAAAATGCAGAGATACAGTGATTATGGGTAATGCAAAAAAGCAGTTTTCCATTTAGTAGGTGATATCTCTCCAGCTTTAGAATCAAGTGATGAAAAAAAAAATACTTCTTCAAAACTTGTCATCAGATTTTAAATTTTTCAGATGGTTCAGAATTGTATATAAAAAGATTATTTTTGCATTAGCATAATTATGTTTGTGTGTTACAGTGTATGCATCTTAATGGCTTAGAGGTACATCTCCTGTAACAGGATTTCTCAATGGTACTAAGATCCTTTGGTTTTAGAAGAATGAAGAAAGATATTAAAACTATTATAATCTAAGTCTTCATTTTGCATATGTGAAAACAGATGTAAGTTATGTAGTGGTATGTTCAAGGCCACACAGCTACTTAAAGCCCACACTTAGAAATAATTCCAGGCTCATAATCTCAGTTCAGTATTTGTTCCTATAAAACCTTTATCTTTAAGTAAAGACATTAAGGTTAAGATAGGTTATTAGACACGCCCAAATTCACTTTTTACTGACAGAAAGAACCAAAGCTAAAAACAAAATCACAATAGTTAGGAATTAGAAATGAAATATTTATTGGCCCTCTCTTAGATAAAAAGAAATTGTCCCTGTGATCATGATTTTCATCATAATTAAGTATGATAACCAAGACAAAGTGGGAAAGGGGAATAGTCTTGAGTTTTATTCTTTTACATAAATCTTATCCTGCAAAATCATTGTTTTCTAGACAAAGCACCATTAAAATTTCCTTTGCTGATTCATAAGAGCCTTAAATATGCTTGAAAAAATAATACAAAAGTCTCTCTATGATCAGTTTTACCAATAACAAGATATACCAATAAAAGTTTGAAGGCTTCACAAGCCCATTGCCTTGGCTTTTCCTTGGTAGAGCCTGGGAAGCTAGCAAATACACTTCCTAATCTGAAGAATTTATGTCTTTTCATTTCACCTATATCTCAAAAGCTGATCACCTATAAAAACCAACAAATAAAAAGAGTTTTTCTATCACCACACTGCCTGTGCTTTATGATAGGGACATTCATTCAGTAAGTATTACATAATGACTTCATACTAAGCTGAGCCTTCAATTCTGGGAATAAAAACAAGATTCTCACTCTGGCCTTCAAGGAGATCACAGTCTAGTCAACAAATAATGTCAGTACTATACCAATAATAGAAATATCTTTTATGCTAAATAGGTCTTTCTCTAATTAAAAAGATGCTTTATAATAATTTTTTTTCATTTATTTTTATTAGTTGGAGGCTAATTACTTTTCAGTATTGTAGTGGTTTTTGCCATACATTGACATGAATCAGCCATGGATTTACATGTGTTCCCCATCCCAATAAATTGTTTTCTCTAAATATTTTCTGAAATAAAATTTATAGCATTTTTTCTTTAGTGTTATTTTTAGTGACCATACAGGGGAGAAGTAAATCACTAGTAGATGGAAAATATAATCATAAGCATTTACATCATTCTGACCTCTTGTGGAAGATCACTTAGGTCTCTGTTAACAGCAAGTTCAAGTTTCTCCAAGCTGGCACAGTAACTTAGTTCCATGGGGACAGTTTTGATTCTGTTGTAACTAAGAATCAGTTCCTGAAGTCTAGTGAGCAGTCCTATGGAAAAATAATACACAATAAATAGCAGAGGGATATAAAATACTGTTTCCAGTTATTAAATATTACAGGATAACTAACTTTCCAGGTTCAAATTGGGAAATTCACATTTCCTGGTATGTGTCCTGCCCCTTCTTCAGAAAAGGAGCAGATGATTTATCAGTACAGGAAAAAAAAAAAAAATTTTTGTTCTGGTTTATCTTTACTATATCCTGACCAGTTTTCCACCTGGGGACTCCCCCGCCTCCCCATTTAAAGAATTTTATCTAATTTTTGTTGCTTGTCTTCAGTCAGTTCCCTTATAGAAGGAATAACTGAACTAACAATATTGTTTCCAGAGTCAATACAATATTATTTCTAAAGAGACTTTTCTTGCATTAAAATCTCGTCTCGAATCACCTCAGTAAACCCAGAAGCTTGAATCCCCTGGAAGCTTCAATTCAGATGTTCAGAGTTTTCTCAAGATGCAGGACTATATAAAGATGAGATCTTTATTCCATGTAGCAAAAAAAATTCTCGATAAAAAACACAGGAGTAGAAGCAATCTTCCTTACCAATTCCTCGAGGTATCTCTGAAATTGTGTTTCGAGATAAATCTAACACAATAAGGTTCTGGAACCTTCCAATGAATTCAGGAATCTTCAGCAAGCCAGTTCTATGAAGTTGCCATTCCTGTAGCTGACTCAGTCTTAGCAGAGAAGAAGGGAGAGTCTAAACTCAGATAAAAGAAAGGACAGGGTTACTATGTTACTTAAATTATCTCAGGATCATGCCACATTGAGATGTGGTTGTAGAGATATTACTTGATTTGTAAAAGAAATTAGGAATATTTTTTCTTTAATGAGTTACATTTCCAAGTGATTTGTGCTACTTCTAAGTTTTAAGAACTTTACTTTCGGGGGTGGGGGGACGCTAAACCTTCAAACCCCAGTCAGAATAGCATAAACAAAATTAAGGTATTTTAGTCAATATTGCTCACACATAGAGCTGTGTTCTAAAGATTCTTTATTAGGCCTAATGAGAGTACATATGTTATTGAAAATGAGAATATGGTGGTTAATTGAAATTATAGAAAAAAAAGATCATTTTAATAATTCAAACTTCCCTTTTTTTTTTAATTTATTTATTTATTTATTTTTTATCACAACCATAGTGTATCTTTTTTTTTTTTTTTTTTACATGTATTCCCCATCCCGGTCCCCCCTCCCACCTCCCTCTCCACCCAATCCCTCTGGGTCTTCCCAGTGCACCAGGCCCGAGCACTTGTCTCATGCACCCAACCTGGGCTGGTGAACTGTTTCACCCTAGATAATATACGTGTTTCAATGCTGTTCTCTTGAAACATCCCACCCTCGCCTTCTCCCAGAGTCCACAAGTCTGTTCTATACATAGGAGTCTCTTTTTCTGTTTTGCACATAATTATCTATTTATTTTGGGCTGCTCTGGGTCTTTATTGCCGCACGCAGGCTTTCTCTAGTTGCGGTGAGTGGAGGCTAGTCGCTAGTTGCTGTGGCCTCTCGTGTTGAGAAGCACAGGCTCTAAGCAGGCAGGCTTCAATAGTCGCAGCACACAGAATCAGGTGCCCCAGGGCATATGGCATCTTCCAGGACCAGGGATAGACCCATGTCCCCTGCATTGGCATGCGGATTCTTAACCAGTGGACCACCAGGAAAGTTCTTTCCTTTCTGTTCCAAAATAGTATAGTGTTTTAAAGACAATTTTCTTTTAAATTAAGAGTTTTAAAGTTTCAACTATTCTGAACTCTATGCCTTTTCTCCATCAGCCTAAAGAAGCCAAAAGACAAAGGCGGTAACCACCTAGCTAAATATACCGATGTATATGAAGACAAACACTGAATTAAGGGATAAAGGTGTTAAAATTAGACTAGGCCTAACATACAAAAATTGAACAGGTATGTGCTTGTATATGTGTGTGTGTGTGTAGAGAAAGAGAGAGGGAGGGAAGGAGAAAAAGAGAAGGTAATATGAATCCGATTGTGGACCTAAGAAAAATTAATATACATTTCCATTTTGTGAACTTTTAACTGAGCATTAGCTTTGGAAAGTAATACGATTTTTGTTAAGCAGACAGTCTTTATGGAAAATGAGAAAATGCTTATCAGAAGGATTAGTGGAGAAAATATTACAAATGACTTAAATCTGGGCAGCATTAAAGCACATTGGTTGAATTTTTGCACAAAAAAGTTGGGACGTTATGTTCATTTTCAGTTCCTGTTGCCCAAATTCGTTTGGTATTATACACTATTAAAATCAGAATTCCTAACTATTTCAGACTTAAGCACATAGTCTAAGAATCATTCTCTCAACTCTCCCACACAATGCAAAATATAAAAAATATTGCTTCTATAAAGCTTACCTTCCATTCCTCTTTTTCTATCTTCAAAATGACTCTTCCATCTTCCTTGGTGACCTTTTCTCTTAGCTTTGTTAAGCTTACTCGTTCTTCCCAGATTCGCACTAGCCTAGGAGACCAGGAAATCATTTTAGGTCACAGGTAATAATATAGGCAGCATTCACTTTTGTATGAAAAAGTAACCCATCAAAAACAAACATTTGATTGCCAGTATCTGGAAATCAGACAAGAATTATTTTGTAAGACATTTAATTTGATTAATATGATAAATGCCCTCTTTTTAAGTTTTTGAAAAGTATTCTACCTCTCCTTAGACTTTTTGTAACAGATTTGTTAAAATATAATTCACATGTTATAAAAATCGGACACAATTTGGTATTTTCCGGTATATCTGCAGAGCTGTGCAACCATTACCGCTATCTGATCCAAAACATTTTCAGCACTCAGGAAAGAATCCCCAGACCTGAGCGGTCACTCCCCATCCCTCCCTCACTCAGCCTCTGGCAGCCAACCTCCTTTCTCTATCTATGTATTTGCCTATTCTAGATAATTCATATAAAAGGTGTTCTGTAGTATGTGGTCTTTTGTGTAGCAGGGTTTTATCCAAAATTTCTACATGTGTGTATCCGTACTTATTTCCATTTTATAGAATAATAATATTCTAGTGCATCAGTTCAGTTCAATTCAGTCGCTCAGTTGTGTCCAACTCTTTGCGACCCCAAGGACTGCAGCACGCCAGGCCTCCCTGTCCATCACCAACTCCCGGAGCCTACCTAAACACATGTCCATCGAGTCGGTGATGCCATCCAACCATCTCATCCTCTGTTGTCCCCCTCTCCTCCTGCCCTCAATCTTTCCCAGCATCAGGGTCTTTTCCAGTGAGTCAGCTCTTCACATCTGGAGGCCAAAGTATTGGAGTTTCAGCTTCAGCATCAGTCCTTCCAATGAACACCCAGGACTGATCTCCTTTAGGATGGACTGATTGGATCTCCTTGCAGTCCAAGAGACTCTCAAGAGTCTTCTCTAACACCACAGTTCAAAAGCATCAATTCTTCTGCGCTCAGCTTTCTTTATAGTCCAACTCTCACATCCATACATGACTACTGGAAAAACCATAGCCTTGATTAGACGGACTTTGTTGGCAAAGTAATGTCTCGTTTTTTAATATGCTGTCTAGGTTGGTCATAACTTTCCTGCCAAGGAGTAAGCGTCTTTTAATTTCATGGCTGCAGTCACCATCTGCAGGGATTTTGGAGCCCCCCAAAATAAAGTCAGCTACTGTTTCCACTGTTTCCCCAATTATTTGCCATGAAGTGACAGGACCAGATGCCATGATGTTAGTATTCTGAATATTGAGCTTTAAGCCAACTTTTTCACTCTCCTCTTTCACTTTCATCAAGAGGCTCTTTAGTTCTTCTTCACTTTCTGCCATAAGGGTGGTGTCATCTGCATATCTGAGGTTATTGATATTTCTCCCGGCAAACTTGATTCCAGCTTGTGCTTCATCCAGCCCAGCATTTCTCATGATGTACTCTCTGCATATAAGTTAAATAAACAGGGTGACAATATACAGCCTTAATGGACTCCTTTCCCAGTTTAGAACCAGTCTGCTGTTCCATGTCCAGTTCTAACTGTTGCTTCTTCCTGACCTGCATATGGATTTCTCAAGAGACAGGTCAGGTGCTCTGGTATTCCCATCTCTTTCAGAATTTTCCACAGTTTATTGTGATCCTCATGGTCAAAAGCTTCAGCATAGTCAATAAAGCAGAAATAGATGTTTTACTGAAACTCTCTTGCTTTTTCAATGATCCAACAGATGTTGGCAATTTGATCACTCGTTCCTCTGCCTTTTCTAAATTCAGCTTGAACATCTGGAAGTTCATGGTTCATGTATTGCTGAAGCCTGGCTTGGAGAATTTTAAGCATTACTTTACTAGCATGTGAGATGAGTGCAATTGTGCAGTAGTTTGAGCATTCTTTGGCATTGCTTTTCTTTGGAATTGGAATGAAAACTGACCTTTTCCAGTCCTGTGGCCACTGCTGAGTTTTCCAAGTTTGCTGGCATATTGAGTGCAGCACTTTCACAGCATCATCTTTTAGGATTTGAAAGAGCTCAACTGAATTTCCATCACCTCCACTAGCTTTGTTCATAGTGATGCTTCCTAAGGCCCACTTGACTTCACATTCCAGGATGTCTGGCTCTAGGTGAGTGATCACACCATCGTGATTATCTGGGTCATGAAGATCTTTTTGTACAGTTCTTCTGTGTATTCTTGCCACCTCTTCTTTCTGTTAGATCCATACCATTTCTGTCCTTTATCGAGCCCATCTTTGCATGAAATGTTCCCTTGGTATCTCTAATTTTCTTGAAGAGATCTCTAGTCTTTCCCATTCTATTGTTTTCCTCTATTTCTTTTCATTGATCGCTGAGGAAGGCTTTCTTATCTCTCCTTGCTATTTTTTGGAACTCTGCATTCAAATGGGTATACCTTTTTCTCCTTTGCTTTTCACTTCTCTTTTTTTCACAGCTCTTTGTAAGGCCTCCTTAGACAGCCATTTTGCTTTTTTGCATTTCTTTTTCTTGGGAATGGTCTTGATCCCTGTCTCCTGTACAGTGCCATGAACCTCCATCCATAGTTCATCAGGTACTCTATCAGATCTAGTCCCTGAAATTCTACTGCATGGATATACCAAATTTGTTGACCCATTCATCAGTTGATGGACATTATTAACTATTATAAATAATGCTTCTATGAATATTCATGTAAAATTTTTAGGTAGATATATGTTTTCATTTCTCTTGAGTGTGTATATTCCTAAGAGTGGAGTTGCTGGATCATTTCATAAATCTACACTTAACTTTTTTAAACCAAACAGTGTCCAAATTGCTTGCATCATTTTCCCTTCCCACCAGCAGTGTATGCGGGCTCTGGTTGCTCCATAGCTTTGCCAACAATTGTTAGTGTCCATCTTCTTGATCATAGCTATCCTAGTGGGTGTGAAGTGGTACCTCACTGTTGTTTTGATTTGCATTTATTAAATATCTAATCTACAGATATCTAGTTTAAAAGTTTTTTAAAGGCTTTCAAATGATATAGTTCAACTTCAGAGTTAAATTATATATTACTATATTCCATTTTATCCAGATTTAGTTTTCCAGATATAAAAATGCACAAAATTCTGGAATACATCCTATTGAATTTTGGTTCATAGCAAAAATACATAATATCAAGCTATAAAAATGACTGACAAAAGGTTGCAGAAAGTTACCTATTCCTATACTAGAGATTTTTCATGTATGAAAAATAAAGAATGAGTTTAGAATTGAAAGTTTTACACTTTTAGCCTATTAGAATGATACAGAATAAACAAAACATAAGCAATCATCAAAGAACATAGGTTTAAGCAATTTGAGTATTTATTTACCAAAATTCTCTTGACATCTGAGAGTTAATATATATTCTTAGCAGTTGTACGTATTAACTGATCTTCAGGGAGGGTTTTATTTTAATGAACAGAAAACCAAATATCTCTTAAAGTGTAGTATTTGCTATCTCAATATGTTTATGTTTGCAAAATATTTCTATGGAGCCTGCATATTTTCATCCATTACTTTTCTGAAAATTCACTAATTTGCTTACAATTGCACTGTGGCAATGGCTGTGTGTGGCCTTCCAGACTGAACAGTCGCTCACTCATGCCCAACTCTTTGCGACCCCATGGACTGTAGCCCACCAGGATCCTCTGTCCATGGAATTTTCCAGGCAAGGATACTGGAGTGGGTCGCCATTTCCTTCTCCAGGGGATCTTCCTGACCCAGGGACTGAATCCAGGTCAGATTGCAGGCAGATGCTTTACCGCCTGAGCTACTAGGGAAGCCCTAGTAGGGAAGCTCCAATAAATGTGATCAAGTGAGACAAAATAAGTAATGCCATCTATTCAATTATACCATGTTTTATAAAAATAGAACTATTCAAATGGTAGACATAGTGATTATTAATTACTTAACTGCTCACTGAGATATACATATTCCAGAATAAGATATAATGTTGAGCAATGAGATGTCTTACTCCCTACACTTTAACTTCAATTAAAGATCTCCATCAAGCACCTATTATATGCCAAATATTATGTTAGACATTGTGGATACAAAAACCTCTGTCCTTCATGAGTTTATAGTAAGGGTAACTATTACCAGATAAGTTTATTTCCATCTCTTTAATGATTCACTTATTCTTTCTGGCTCTGTGTGATCTAAATCCAGAATGTATCACTTAATTCAGAGACCATGGACAAGACATCTCACTTCCAAGGATTTTGCCAATAATATATGGGGTTTGGATTAAATAATATCTAGTGTTTCCTCTAGCTGTAATATTCTGTAATTCCTACACTGCTTATTTTAACCTTGAGGCTCTTTCAAGTTTTGAATAGAAATTTTTTACCTCCTCTAAAACCCTTCTATTATACTCTAAAGCCTTTCTCAAATGTCATTATATTAACTCTTACCCAAGTGTTTAATTTTTTTCCAGGCAACCTTGTATCAAAAGACAGAACAATTTCTGTTCACACATAAGGCTTGGGGGACTTCCCTGGTGGTGCAGTGGTTAAGACTTCATGCTTCCACTACAGGAAGCATGGGTCAGATTCCTGGTGGGGGAACTTAAGATCCCCTGTGGCAACCAAAAATAAAAAAAGTTAAACTTAAGGGTTTTTAGTTAAATCTTTAGCCACTTTTATCGGAGAAAAGAGCATTAGATTACATTCTTACCTTTTTTTGCCCCTTGCCTGTTTTGTGCAGAGAAAATTGAAGCTGCTGAAATTAAATGATTCTTAGCCAGACATATTTAATTTCAATAGGTGAAATTCAGGAATAAAGAAATAACTCATTATTTCTGACCACTGTTTTTTAAAAAATTGGATAGGATTTATTAAGAGTACTTGAGTTAACAGAGAACAGTCTTATGGTTGCCAAGGATGGGAGTGTTGGAGCGGGGAGGATTGGGAGTTTGGGATTAGCAGATGTAAAGTAGTATATATAGGATGGATAAACAACAAAGAACTATATTCAATAGCCTGTGATAAACCATAATGGAAAAGATTATGAAAAAGGATATATGTGTGTGTGTGTGTGTATAACTGAGTCACTTTGCTATACAGCAGAAATTAATACGACATTGTAAATCAACTATATTTCAGTAAAATTTTTTAAAAAGAGTACTCAAGTCACTTGTCATAATTGTATAATGTAAACATAATAGGTTTTGTAAGAGTAGTTTTACATGTAAAGGGTCAATCTAGGGAAATTTAAGACCTGAGGTTAATGTAATGCTTACTGAGTCAGATTGCTTAGGTATGAATACTAGTGAATACCAGTTCCACATTTATTAGCAGTATGATCTTTGACAAGTTACCTAGGCCTATCCTTCAGGTTTTCCATCTTTAAAATGGAGAAAATAACATCACCCATGTGTCACAGAGATTCCTTATCATTTTCCAATATGTTACTCCTCTTCTTCCTCATAATAGATCCTCTAAATATAACTGGGCACAAGACTTCATTTAGCCATCCTCCCTTGCAGTTAGGAATGGGTCATATGAAGCTTTGGCTAGTGAGATGTTAGCCAGAAATAGTAATGTGTGCAACTTCTGGCTAGCTGGAATCAAGTACGTTGGCCACAGTTGGCCTATCTATGTATTTTGGGCCATGAAGTAACTAAAGTCTGTTCCTAAAGGAATGGAAGCCATGCCCAGTTGAACAGCAAGATAAAAAGCCTGAATGTCTGATGCAGTGGAATGCTATGACAGTCCTCTTCTTTGCTGGGAGAATACCAGTTATTTCCAAGTTTTTACACTCCCTCCAAGTTACCCAGGTATAAATCTTAATTTGTCTAAACCAGTCATACAATCTCATTCCCCTAAAAGGTTACTGGGTTAGGGGTGTAAAAATGACCTGATTCTGGCCCATGAGAGGTGAAGGAGAGGCTTAGCTAGGGGACCTCAGAAAGGTATTTTCATTCTTAAATAAGAAACAGAAATAAATATAATAGCTCCCACTCTTCTGATAACATGATGATGTCTGGCTGCAATGCCTGAAAGTGTACCAGTCACCCTGCAACACTGAGAGACGCTAACCTGAAGCCCAAACTGGCCTACCAAGACTAGCTGTGGAAGGTGAGAGAAGCAGAGTCCAAAACACTGCGGAAACTCTGGAATTGCCTAAACTCAGGACTTCCCTATTGTTTAAGCCATTTTTAGTCGTATTTTCTTTTATTAGCTGGCATAAGACCGTTTTTTAAAATGAGATATAATTGGCATATAACATTATATTAAGTCTAAGTGTACAACATAATGGCTTTGTATTTGTACATATTGCAAAAACACTCAACATTGCCATTCAAAATGTTTAGAAAGAGATCTAATGAGTGATAACCGTAGGGAGCTATATCGAATCTATGAGGACCCGGGCTATCCTTGAAAAAATAATGCGATACTTTGGAAACATCCAGTGAGGAAAGTAGGTAGGTATCAATAAGGCAGAGGAAATGAGAGTCAAACTATAACCCAAATAGAGGACTCAGGTGATCCACAGTGGCCCTGGCTGGAACTCACAGCTATTTAGTTAGGTGTGAATCAACTGAATTTTCTAATGCAAGATGTTGTTTTAGCTCCTAGGGAATATAATATTGAACAAACAATCTCTGAAAAGTAGACTAAATGATCCTAATTGAACTTTGATGAATGTTGAACAGACTCCTAGGATAATTACTAAATTCATTTGTATTTTTTGTGGCCCACATCATATGGCCACACTTCATTGTCAGGTGCTTCCTTTAGTTCTATTTTGAGTTTTCTGTAAATAAAAACCTCTATAAAATTAAATAATAAGGCAATTAATAAATACTATTTTAATAATGAAGATGTTATAAATTTTTGTTAATTCAAAATAATAAACATGTTTTAGCATACTTTTGTTGGAATTCCTTCTCTTGCTTCAGGTCTTCATTGAGTTTCTTTATTCTTTTTTCCCAAACTTCCTTTACAGCATTGACAGCCCCAGTACTAACCACATTTTCTGACATGATTTCTCCACATTGTCACAGGGTCACCAGCTTCATTAAATTTTGAATAACTGAATCACAAATGCCATCTCAGAAAGGACCTGATTGAACCAGAGAAGGGGGAGAAATGTGTTTCAGAATGTTTATTGAGTGCCATAATAAACATAATAGCTTATATTTATTGAACACATTCTGTGTTCCCAAGACTATTTAATGTACTTTATATGCCATATTTCACTTAATAATTCTCATAAAAATGTCATGACATGGGTACTTTTATTGTCTTTGTATAAAGAGGAGAAAATCGAGCCCTAGAAAAAGTGGCTAAATGGTTTACATCCTATCTCTAATAAGTGACAGAGGGTGGAACTGATGCCAAGTCTACTTCCTTTGTTACTATTAATTCACAGTAATGAAAAACTGCAACTGCTTTACATGCCTAATTATAGGGAAATATGTAGTAATGAATATACAAGATGAGCAGGCATCTTGACAGAGCTACTTAATCTAGATGCTATATACACAAGCTGGAATTCAGTTAAGTGGTAATATAGTGGGATTGTTTGCCCTTGTGGAAAATAAATTGCAAATGGACTCATCTAACATTGAGGATTATGACCTGAATCTCAGAAAAGAGAGGCAAACAATAATAGGGGAATGGTTATGTAAGTCACAGTAGATCTATTTGATGAGATGTTCTTTGCCTTATAGTGGTATAGTGGTATTGATTTCATATAGTGGTATTTCATATTCATATTTCACGTTCATATAGTGGTATTGATTTTTCACCAAATTAGCAATAATGAAATAATTTGATTCACAATTAATTTAATTATTTCTTCAAAATTCAAGAAGTAAAAGATGCCCACAATTACCACTTCCATTCAACATCATATTGAAATGCAATAAAGCAATATCATGAATAAAATAGAAAGGTATACAGTTTGGAAAAGGAGAAGTAAAATTTGCAACAGCATAGGAAAAAAGGTACTCTCATACACTAGTGTGACAGCACACATGGTCATAGTCTCTATGGAGAGAATTTTGGTCACATCTATCAAACTTAAAAGTCACACCAACACTTGTAGGAATTTACACTGAAAATATTTTCAATTTTAAAATGACACATTACAAAATTATTCACTGTAGGGTTTTTCATGACAGCAAGAGGTTGGAAACAACAATAACTTTCTACCAGTAAATTACAGTAGATGCATATTATGATGAATTATATAGCTCCATAAAGAAGGAAAAGCATGTTATACACTGATAAAGCATGATATCCAAAATGTATGACTATGACACAATTTATTTATCCATTCCAATTAATGTGGATATTTAGATCCCAAATGTTTGCTCTAATAAGCAAAGCTGTATCTGAAATTCCTGTTCTTCTTGCTGCTCACATGGTATTATTTCTATTGCGTATACCCAAAATTAGAATTGTTAGATCACTATGTTCAAATTTATAAGATAGAGGCCAATTGTTTTTCAAACTGATAAGATAGAGGCCAATTGTTTTCCTTGTACAGTTGTAGTAAGTAATTTCCAATGGAAGACAAGTGGCCACTATCTTAATTATAGGAACAGTTTCCATTGGAAATTGTTGTATGTCGTCACCCCATATTACTGCGTAAAATGATATCTCATCATGGTCATAATTTATGTTTTTCAGATTATTAACTGCTCCAAGATAATAAAGATTGCCCAACTAAATAAAAGACAAAATCCTGTGTATTATTTACAAGGGCATACCTAAAACATGAACATAGAAGAAATGGAAGGCACAAAATAGAAAAAGATCAGCCTAGGTTTATACCCAAGAGAAATTAAAATATATGTTCACACAAAACTTGTACATGAATGTTGATAGTAGCATTATTCACAATGGCCCCAGAGTGGAAAACAAGTAGCTGACAAGTGGAAACAAATGGCTATTAATGAACAAAATGTGACATATCCATACAATGGAATGTTACTCTGGCATGAAAAGGAGCTAAGCTACATCATGGGGAGACTTTGAGTAAAATGATGCTGATAGAAGTCAGACACAAAACACCAAAAATTGTGTTATCCCATTTATATAAAATGTCCAGAATAGTCAAATCCATGAAGAAAGAATGTAGATTAATGATAACCATGGGGCTTTATAGAGGGGGAAATAAGAGTGATTGCTAAGAGTACAAAGTTTCTTTTCTGAGTGATGAAAATCAACTTTTGAAATAAATCAACCTATGAAAAAGCAAAGATTATTTATGGCTAAAAACACAGAATGTAATACATCTTCAAAATATAAAAATAAAAGTTCTTTTAATAGGGTGTATAAGAAGGATATGGGAAAATAGAGGGTGAGGGAGATAAGAGATATAGTCTATACTTTATGGAATGAGAGAGATTTAAGTATTGAAGCTATAAGGCAACAACAAAGAAATTAAAAGAGATATAACTCTATGGGAGTGCAGGTGAATTTAAGCATCATCTTTCATAATTAAACAATAGATAATGTCTAAAGCTGAGAAGACACAGCATACTGCCTTTGAAAAAGAAAAAAAGTATTAAGGAGATAACCACTGAAAACTAAATACTGAAATAGTTAAAATGGTTACTTTTAGGGTGATAAAAATGGGGTACCTAATATTGCTTTTTCACTATTAATCTCCTATAAATTACTGATTTCTTTAAAACTATGTAATTTGTGTGTGAGAGACAGAAAGGCAGAGACAGAGAGAGGAAGAAAAATGTATTAAAAGAGGGAAAAGTTTAACATTTGAGGATGAATATATACTTGCTGATATGCAGGAAATTATTAGGAGGAGGTCCTTATGTAAAGCAATAAATGCAGCATTTAAATGGGAACAGGTTTGCAAGATTTTTCTCCCATCAAGAAACTAGTGGTATTTATGTTGATAATCCAATCCTCTGGGTATTAATATCACTGTCCAATTGTAATTTATTGTCTCAGATGTAAGCAGGTTTGAAGCATGCATTTATCAGATAATAAAGAATTAAAATCTCAAATACCTACATGTAAATGTGTATTTTACTAGACATGTATAATGTCATGTGCTGATTCATTTCCCCATTTCCCATTAAACTTGGATCAACTATCAATTTTCCTATAACAGTAACCAACGTCCCTTTGCGGAAAACAAGTCAGTAGTGATATATGAATTTCTGCCTCCCACATGGGCTTGTGTTCTCTACCTTGGTTATTACAACAGAAAAACACAAACCATGGCAGTAAAGTAAGCATGGCTGTGACATGACTAAGGAGTCAACTCCCCAGAGTCAAAAGAAAACAAAAGAAATATAATCTCTGAAGAAACACTTCTTCATTTCTGGGGAAGTCAGTCTTTCAGAGGAGGACAACTAGATGAATGATTATGAACCTCCAAAGAGACTTTTAAATTCAATTCCAGCTTTAGTTGTACCTTCCAGCAAACACAGACACAGTAAAAACATCAACAGCCATCTATTTATAAGTCAAGAGTAGGAAAAAAAAAATGTTTTTGAAAAATACATACCGTGGTCAGTGCATACAGGAGCTGACATGTCCAAAGTTAGTGTATCAGCTAGGAGTGGACTGAAGGCAGAATTGTTTTCAGTGTGACTCCCAGTGATGAAAATCCTCAGTCAGACTGTAGCTGGGTAAAACGTAATGTCAGCCTACTTCTAATTTTAGTTCATGGACAAAGCTGAGAATAGCAAAAATCACATGGAGCTTCTGTGGAAAGGACCAACTGATAACATATGAAGTGCATTCCATGTGCTGCAAAATGCTGGGCTGCAGGTATTATAAAACTACCATGCATGCATGCATGCCAACTTGCTTCAGTCATGTCTGACTCTTTGCGAGCCTATGGACTGTAGCCCACCAGGCTCCTCTGTCCATGGAATTTTACAGATGAAAATACTTGAGTGAGTTGCCATTTGCTACTCCAGAGGATCTTCTTGACCCAGAGATTGAACACACATCTCCTGCGTCTCCTGCATTGGCAGATTCTTTATCATTAGTAACACCTGGGAAGCCCCAGTTATTCCATAGAAATTCTCTAATGCCTCTATAGTGAGTAAGTTCAGAGAGTTGTGGGGTTTCTCAAGATCACAGAAACAGTAAAGGAGATCACAGAACCTAAACTCTATAACCTCCCTGTCCAGAGAGCTGGCACCATTCCACACACAGCTGTCTTGAATATGTTCATAGTCAACACTGAAGTTTAGGGAGGAGTTTTGTTTCCATTAAAAAAAAAGACTAAATTGTTCCCTTGGAAACAATTTAGATTTATTTCTGCATTTGGCACTGTCTACAATTAAATTTTAATTTGACCATGCTTATAGGAAATCCACAAATTTCAAAGTTTCTCTCTTTTCTTATCTAGCCTCTTATTTTCCAGAATGAAGATCTAAGAGGTAACACTGCAGGGAGTGAGACAAGTTGAGAAGTTGTTAAAGTGACCTACACTAGAGAAATGGCAGGGAGAGGGGGAACAAAGTGAACAGATACATGAGCTATTTATGAGGAGATTAGGTAATTTTGGTTATTTGAGGACAATAAGGGATTATAAAGGGTTTCCCTGGTAGCTCAGCTGGTAAAGAATCTGCCTGCAATGCAGGAGACCCCAGTTCAATTCCTGGTGGGGAAGATCCCCTGGTGAAGGGAAAGGCTAACTGCTTGGGCTCCCCTGGTGGCTCAGACTGTAAAGAATCTGCCTGCAATGCAGGAAACCTGGGTTCAGCCCCTGGGTTGGGAACATCCCCTGGAGGTGGCATAGCAACCCACTCCATATTCTTGCCTGGAGAATCCCATGGACAGAGGAGCTTGGCGGGCTACAGTCCATGGAGTCACAAAGAGCCAGACTCGACTGAGCGACCAAGCATACACACAAGGGATTAGAAAGAAGAGATATGGGCATGTATAGAGATAATCTGTCATTCATGGCTGCCCATATCTTCCAAATACCCACTGCACATCTTGATAACACTGCCCCGCCACCCCGCGCCACCCCCCCCCCACTGTGAAT